GTCAGATGGATGTTAAGGAAGTGAAAATCTGAAAACTGATCCTGTAAGACTGCCATGCTCTGTACCCTTGGAAAGTGTTCGAATACTCTAATTCAAAGACCACTGTTGTCGGCCGGGCTCGGTGGCTCACACCTGTAATCCTAGCTCTCTGGGAGGCCGAGGCGGGCGGATTGTTTGAGCTCAGGAGTTCGAAACCAGCCTGAGCAAGAGCGAGACCCCCGTCTCTACTAAAAATAGAAAGAAATTAATTGGACAACTAAAAATATATAGAAAAAACTAGCCGGGCATGGTGGCGCATGCCGGTAGTCCCAGCTACTCGGGAGCCTGAGGCAGGAGGATCGCTTGAGCCCCAGGAGTTTGAGGTTGCTGTGAGCTAAGACCACGCCACGGCACTCTAGCCTGGGCAACACAGTGAGACTCTATCTCAAAAAAAAAAAAAAAAAAGACCACTGTGGTAGAGGAGTGTTTAATCAATAGTAGTGCAGTGTGAGAAATGCATTACAAAAGCGTGCATCAGACACTGTGCTAGCAGAAAGGAATGGAGTGATCAATACTTGAGGGAGGATCATGCTAAATGAAAAGCTAGAGAAGGTTCTATGGGGGAGATAAAGGTTTTTGGGTAATTGTGTAAAGGGAAAATGGTGTGAGAAAGATGTGGTAAGCCTTCTAGGCTGAGGAAATAAAGTTTCAGTCACCGAGTTAGAAGTTTAATAAGAGGTGTAGCTAGAGATGATTGGGCACACACAACAGAGAATACAGAGTTCTGTTTTTCTTTTGTTGATGTTGATGTCCCCCTGGAGTATCTAGGTAAAATGTCCAGTGGGGGTACTGGCAGGTGTGACACTCAGAAGAAAGATCTGAGCCAAAATAGACATTTAGGAGTTAGTTGTATATGAACCATTGATATGGATTAGATGAATCAGGAAAGTGTAGCATGATAACAGAAGATGACCAAGAACATCAACATTTAAGGAGGAATGGCAAATGCCTGGTCCATATGAATGTCATATTGGTCCCCTTTTTTTATAGCAGACATGTCTAATTGATTACTGAACTTCTTTATTTCTCAGTGAGCCTAATTTCTACTGTGATTTTATTTTTTAAATTTTTTAGAAGCCTGTCCCTTGATTTCCAAAGTTTGGGGGATTTTCCAGTTACTTTTTTGTTATTGATTTCTAGCTTTTAATTTCATTGTGGACAGAAAACATAATCTGTATGATTTCCATCCTTTAAATTTATTGAGTTGCTTTATTGGTCCAGACTATGGCTTATAATGGTGAATGTTCCATGTGTATTTAAAAAGAATGTATTTTGGGATGTAGTGTTCCATAAAAGTCATTTAGGTCAAGTGGTTAGTTAGTAGTGTTTTCAGATTTTCTCTATCTTTACTTCTACATTTGATTTTTGCCAAAAGGCTGAGAAGCAATTATCCTTACTTCAATATCCTTCTTTATTTTTTCCTGTTTCTTATATCACTTACTGAGAGAGGTATATTAAACTATCTAGATATGATTGTGGATTTGTTTATTTTTGCTTTTAGTTCTGTCCATTTTTGCTTCATGTTTATTCCCCAGCTCCTTCCTTGACAGGTCACCACCATAGGCTTGTTATGTTCCTCCACAAAGGATCACAGCTCCTTTTAGAAAGCTTCTTAATACAGGTACCCTCTCTGCTTGTGCTCTCTCCTTGTCCTTTCAGGACTAGGGGTGGTAATGGCTTTCTGTTACTGCTAGTCCCTGGGTACTGCACCATCCTTGTTGGTTTTCCTAAACCTGCTACCTCTGCTACTCCTTCATAAATAGTTCCTTGATTATACTTTCCTCAGTTACTCAGTTTGAATGTACCATCTGTTTCTTGCTGGGACCCTGATTGATAATTGGATACGTTTAGAAAAGCGTTTCAGTCAGTAGGAGAATCCAGTGCAAAAGCCATTTCAATGGGTGTTTGGCATGTTCAAGGAATAGTGAGGAGTGTGGCTGGAGAGAATGAGTAACAGGGAGACTAGAAAAAGATGAGGCCAGAGGGGAAGTGGGGGAGCCAGATCAGAAATAGCCTTATAGGCCATTGCAAAGAGGAGGATTGAGCAGAGGACTGATATTAGTTAATTCTGGTTTTATTAGGATCACTGTGGCTGCTCTGTGGAGACTAGACTGTAGGGGAGCAAGGGTTGAAATCAGAGATCTGTTAGGAGGTGAGAGAGAATGCTGGCGCGGACCTGCCTGGATTCTGGTGTGAGAGAGACAAGTTAAGAATGACTCTAAGCTTTCTGGTCTGAGCGACTGGAAGGATTAAGTTGCCATTAGCAGAACTGGGGAATACTGTTAGTGGAGCACATTTTGGTGGAAAGATCGTAAGTTCAGTTCTGAATATGTTTAGTTTGAGCTGACTGTTAAGCATCTCAATTCTGTTGGATATCCATGTTTGGAGTTCTGAGGTCTGGGTTAGAGATATAAATTTGGTAGCCAGTAGTATACTAGTTGCCCTTACAGGTGTGAGACTGGATGAGTTCATCAACAAGTGTTTGAAGATCGAATAGAAAGGAGGCTAGAACTGGGCCTTTGCACCCAGTGTTAAGAAGTTGGGAAGAAGAGGAAGGAAAAAAAGTAGTTTTGAAGAGTCATTAGTGAGTTAGGGAGAGACTCCTCTGTTGTATGAGTTTTGATAGGAAACAGGGCTCCGACTCTACTCTGGAAATCACACTATTTAGAGCTTCCTCCTACCTGCACCCTGGCAGGCAGGCCATGTGTAATAACATAGGCTTGACCAATTAAATCCCCTTGCCCAAGACTTTGAATCATGAGGCAGTTATGCAAAGGCTGCAGGAACAGTTTACTTATGACAATGTTCAAAGTCCAACGTGGGCAATGCAAAGAGCAGCAGCAAAAAGACATGACCACTTTTCTGTTGGATTCTCTTATTGATTTGTAGGAGCTCTTTTTATATTCTGTTCATAAGTTTCTATCTGTTGTATTTTAATGTTGTTTATGGTATCTTTAATATAAAGTTTTAATGTAAAATATTTTGTTGTTTCCTTTGCTTTTTTGCTTATTATTTCGGAAGTCCTTCCCAAAGTTATCAACATGACATGCCCCTATATCTAATTCCTTTGTATTTTTGTTTTCAGTGTTTTTACTTCTTTAGTACATTTTGAATTTATTTTTGTCAGAAGTGTGTGGTATAAATTTTACCTTGATTTTTTTTAACAAATGGACAGCCAACCGTCAAGTTCTCATTAACTTATAAAATCTGTCCTTTCCCTAGATTGTTTATTAGAAGGATGTCAGTCAGATCTAACGTTGAGGGCAAGGTTTATAATGAGAAATGGTGCCAGAAAATGTTGTTCTTATTGTATTCAGGTTAATTGCTCAGTATCTCTTTTGTCAGGAGGCCAAATATTTATAGTCTTTTCAGGAAGTGAAATAACACTTATAAAGGCATCTTATTTGAAAATACCTTAGATATAATTATAACTACTCTATAATAAAAGCCAATAGATAGTATCACCCTTATGTTTGTAAGCAAGCTTATTCTTTCAAAGAAAATCTACTTTAGAAAGTAGCTAATTTATAGTTTCTTTCCTGCATTAAGGAAAATAGGACACCATGACCAGTCAGCCAATACCTGGAAGTAATTAAGTTTGTACTATGAGACCCTGCTGACCACCTGGTTTTTGAGGGTATTAGAATTTAAATGACCAGTGATTCTCAAATTTACATTAGAAATCACCTGGAGGGCTTACTGAAACACAGATGCTGGACCCCACTCCAGGGTTTCTGACTCAGTAGGTCTGGGATGGGGCCTGAAAAATTTGCCCTACAAGTTTCCAGGTGATATTGATGCTTTGAGAATCTTATGATAGACAGAGTGAAGACAAAGAGTTGATTAGGCAGGGAGAAGAAGGGAGGTCTTGATGGGTTGTGGAAGAGGTTTGCAGCCTTTAGATTTTTGTCCTCAGTGATTTTTGCCTTGCCTCCCTCTGGCTGCTAATTTTGGATCTAGCAAGGACTTAGCTTCATATGTAGTTTTTATCTTCCTTTCTCAGTTTACCACATACTCATAATAAATTTCTTTATCTGTAAACATTCTTTTTCAAAGATTTACAGATTTTCTTGTTTCTAAAGTTTCTGTCTCACAGGGTTCTTTTCGGAATGTGTAAAGTACTCAGAAGATAGCAAGCATTCATCAAGTGTTGGCTGTTGTTACTAGTGTCATGATTTAAGGTCTTAGACTTTAGGATACCTCACTAACTCTAAACTGGCATTTCTGAAAGCTATGTTTTGCACAGCTACTTTTTCTGAATGTCTTTGAGCCATTTCCAAATGAAGTTCCAGGTGCAGATGGTATCACTATGCCTAATTTGCTGTTGGAAAGAGCAAAGCAGAGAGAGATTATTCAGTTTAATTTGGCATTTTAGAAGATCAGCCAGAAATTCTTACTTTAAAAAATAAAACTGTGTAGAAATTACTGAGAACTTTTGCTCTCTTTTGCTTGTTACATGTAGGAATTGGCATTTATGCCACAGGGGCTTTGTTCTTTTTATGCACCTAGAAATATTGAATTTTGAGCATATATGGCTGCATAACTTCAAATTGTAGTAAAAATAAGGACATACAAAGATGTAAAAAAATGTTGAGAATATGTGTTAAAGATTCTATCCTACTGATGGTTTGGATGATCTTAAAATGCATTCTTCTGTATTATTGTTGCCTATATTAGCATTGCTGTTAATGAAAAAAGAAAGCTGATTATGTGTTTTATTGTGCTTCATCTTTTTGCTAACCTAGCATTTAAAATGTGAATGTCACTGATGTCTCACTTCTCCTTTATAAGGTGTATACTTTGGATGGAAGTTTTAGAGCATAGTGCTTGACTTAGATAGATGTATAGTACATTTGTATAACATTTCTCTCTGTAGGTCAGGACAGTCATTGTTGCCATAGGCATAGAGTGTGCTTTCTCATGTTTCTTATAATGCTTCTGTTTCTTTATTATCTTTTTAGGTGATACAGTAAATATTGGAGATGTATCCTACAAGTTGAAAACTCCCAAGAACCCAGAACTTGTGCCACAGAACTACAGTAAGAAATAATTCATTACTTTATGAATGAATAACTTTTAACTTTTCATTATGGGAATTTTCAAACGTACACAAAACTAGAGGGAACAGTATAAACCCAATGTACTTATCATCCGACTTCAACATTTATTAATGTTATGCCAATCTTCTTTTACCTGATCCCCACTTTTTGTCCTGGGGCATTTAAAACCTGTCTCAGACATCCTATCATTTCACACATGAATATTTCAGGAGAAACATTTATTTGTCTCACATACTACTGTTTCTTTATTAAACGGGATAAAATTTACATATAATAAAATACATAGATCTTAAATGTTTGTTTGATTGGGTTTTTTTTTGTTTTTTTTTTTTTTTGAGACAGAGTCTCGCTTTGTTGCCCAGGCTAGAGTGGGTGCCGTGGCGTCAGCCTAGCTCACAGCAACCTCAAACTCCTGGGCTCAAGCAATCCTTCTGCCTCAGCCTCCCGCGTAGCTGGGACTACAGGCATGCGCCACCATGCCCGGCTAATTTTTTTTCTATATATGTATTTTTAGTTGTCCAGATCATTTCTTTCTATTTTTTAGTAGAGACGGGGGTCTCGCTCTTGCTCAGGCTGGTCTCGAACTCCTGACCTTGAGCCTTGGCCTCCCAGAGTGCTAGGATTACAGGTGTGAGCCACGGCGCCCGGCCTGTTTTAGTTGGTTTTGACAATTTTATAAAACCTGTGTAACCACCAAGATTACTTTAATTCCCCCCCACAGGTTTTGTTGTGCTTGTTCCCCTTTACCCTGCCCTGGAAACCACTGTTTTCTTTTCTACGATGATAGATTAGTTTTGCCCATTCTCCAGCTTTATATAAATGGAATCATATGGTATGAGTGAGTGTGTGCGTATTTTTTTCCATCAAGAGAATGAATTTGAGGTTTATCCATATTGCTTCACCTATCAGTTTGTTTTTAATTTCTGAATAGTATTCCATTGTATAAATATACCACAAATTGTTTATCCCTTCTTTTGTCAATGGACATTTGGATGGCTTTCATTTTTGACTGTTATAAATAGAGTGCTATAAACATTCCTCTACAGTTCTTTTGGTTATAAGTTTTCACTTCTCTTGAGTAAAAAACTAGGAATTGAATTGATATGTCATAGGGCGAATGCCTGTCTAACTTTATAACACACTGCCAAAACAATTCTCCAAAGCAATTGTACCATTATACTTTTGACCAACAGTGATGTTCTACATCCTTGTCAGTATTGGTATTTCTAGTCTTTTTTATTTTACTCATGCTACTAGATGTAAAAAAAGTAACTCATCATGGTTTTTGTTTTATAATAGCTTTATTGAGATTAATTCATATGCTATAAAATCCAGCATTTAAAAGGGTACAATTTGGTGGTTTTTAGTATATTCAGAGTTGTGCAATCATACCACTATCTAACTTTAGAACATTTTTATCACCCCAAAAAGAAACTTCATACCCATTAATAATCATTTCCTGTTTTCTCCTCTTTCTTCCCCCTCGCTTTTGGCAACCATTAATATACTTTCTGTTTCTATGAGTTTGGCTATTCTGGACATTTCATATAAATGGGTTCATACTATGTAGCCATTGTGTCTGGCTTGTTTCACCCAGCATAATGTTTTTAAGGTTCATCTATGTTGTAGCATGTGTCAGTAATTCATAGCTTTGTACGGCTAAATTTTATTCCATTGTAAGGATCTTCTATATTTTGTTTATTCATCAGTTGATGGACATTTGGATTGTTTCTACTTTTGGGCTATTATGAATAATGCTGCTATGAGCATCCATATACAAGTTTTCTATGGACATATGTTCTCAATTTTCTTGGGTATTTACCTAGAAGAGGAATTGTTAGGTCATATGGTAGCATGTGGTTAACATTTTAAGGAATTACCAGTGGTTTCCATATCAGCTACGCCCTGTTACACTCTCACCAGCAATGTGTGAGGTTTCCAGTTTCCCTACATTCTCACTAACACTTGTTATTGTCTGTCTTTTTGATAACAACCATCCTCATACATGCGAAGTGGTATGTAATTGTGGTTCTGTTTTACATTTCCCTAATGGCAGTCACTTCTTTGCTCGAAATCATGTCATTTCTTTTCTCAAAATTCTTTAAATGACTTTTTAATATCTTAGAAACAAAGGTCAATTCTTAGCTATCTTAATCTAGTCTTAGCCTCATCTTGTGCCGTATTCTTCTCCTATTCTGTGTTCCAGTCATTGGGCACAATGTATTATAGAATAACTTTTTCTTCACTCTTCAGATTCTTCTACTAGACTATCTGCTCTGTTAAAGAAAAAAATTATTCAGTGATACTTGTTAAAGCATGGTAAGTAAGACTTTATTCAGGACCATCACGATGGGTCATTCAGTGGGAGAGAAAGATTGGGTTTGGCTCTGAAAGCAGCATGGGCTAGTGGGAATTTATAGCTAAGGAGCAGCATGGGGAAACATCAAGGCTAAGAGGGGATTCTGGCTAAACCGACCTAACAAGATTCTTGCTGAAGACAGGCCAGGGTGATCAGACATAACCTGGGGGATGGTGGAGGATGAGAAACCTGATGAAGAATGATCTCAGTTGTCAAGAATGGGGAGGTTCTGGCTAAATTGCCTTAGCAAGGTTCTTTTGCTAAAACTGGACTTTACAAGGAAGTGCAAGGATGGGCCTAGGAAAAGGTTTAGAAACCTGACTAAAGTTTGGTCAAGCAAAGAATCTTTGTCAGCTCCTTCAGGGGGAATGGAATATCTCACTTTCATCTAACACAAAGTTCCATTAACTCTACCTCCTAAATGGCTCTGCAGTCTGTCTTCTCCACTCTTTCCCACTTTTCTTTTTCCTTTTCTTTCTTTCATTTCCTTTCCTCTTTTTTTCCTTTCCTTTCCTTTCTTTCCATTCTTTCCTTCCTTTCCTTTCTTTCCTTTCCTTTCCTGTCTCTCTTTGTCCTCTGGGCTAGAGTACAGTGGCATTGTCATAGCTCACTGCAACCTCAAACTCCTAGGCTCAAGTGATTCCCCTGCCTCAGCCTCCCGAGTAACTGAGACTACAGGTGCATGCACTATGCCCAGCTAATTTTTTTCTATCTTCTGTAGAGACAGGGTCTCACTCTTGCTTAGGATGGTCTCGAACTCCTGGCCTCAAGCAGTCCTCCCACCTCAGTCTCCTAGGTGCTAGGATTACAGGCATGAGCCACCACACCCACCTCCCACTTTTCTTTTGCTATATTTTTCTTTTAGTTATTTTCTTAGTAGTCATTTTAGGGATTACAGTTGATGCTTAAACCTAAAATGATTTTATTCAATTAATGGTAACTTAGTTTCAATAGTATACAAAAGCTTTGCTCCAAAATAGCTCTGTTCCTTCCCACCTCATTTGTGCTATTATTGTCATAGGAGTTATATTTTTGTACATTAAAAGTCCATAGGTAGTTTTATAATTGTTGCTTTATGAAATTGTCTTTTAAATCAGAAGAAAAGAGTTACAAAGAAAAAATGCTTATATTGTCATTATAATTACCTATGTAGTTCTCTTTACTGATAATCCTATTTCTTTATGTGGATTTGAGTTACTGTCTAGGGTGATTTCAGTCTAAAAGAAGGATTTTCTCAGTTATTTTTCTTTGTTAAATCTGGAAATGTCTTAATTTCTCCTTTGTATTTTGAAGGGAAGTTTTACTGGATATAGATTCTTCGTTGGAGGTTTCTTTCAGCACTTTGAATCTGTCTACTTACTGCCTCTGGCCTCCCTGGTTTCTGATGAGAAGTCAGTTATTAATCTTATCAAGGATCCTTTCTACATGATGAGTCACTTTTCTCTCTGCAATCAAGAGTCTCTCTTTAGCTTTTGATAGTTTGACTATGACGTATCTAAGTGCAGATTTCTTTGAGTTTATTCTATGTGTAGTTTGTTGAACTTCTTGGATGTGCAGATTAATGTTTTTCTTTTTTTTTTTTTTTTTTT